TAATTTGTAAAAAATACCCACATTTGGATTTAACAAGCCACATCCCTGGTCATCAGTCATAGTTTATTATTGGGTAGAACTGAGAGGAATCTATTACCGTTTGGTTTTGAATAATAGGCTTAAATTAAGATCGGTAACAAGACAGTTGACATGGAGGGCCTGATTTAACAGACTTTTTTCTGATCGTGAAAGAGCCGTCACCCTTTTTGTCTGAATGTGCTGTTAATTGGTGCTGATGGCTGTTGGTCGTACCGAAGAATGCACTTTTTTAATGAGTAAGTGGTCATTTTGACTATGGAGATCTGATGATTTGAAAAAGTATAAAAAAGGCCCGTGATTAAACAGTTCTAACACTTACAAGATAAAAATTTGATTAAGAATTACTATACCAAACTGGATCAAAGAACCCACAGAAAACGCATATTTTTGAAAATATTTTGCTCTTTATCATTTTGCTGTTATCACAATCTGATGAGTTGACCCTATATTTTCCGTTCACTTAGTTCTTGTTTTGCTCTAAATTGACTTTTGGCTTTCTTTTAGAAAATCTCAAAAAAGTTCCCTCTAGAGTTTTGTTATTTTTACTTGTTCTGTTATAAAGTTTTCACTCTTGCTTCTAGTATTTATTGTTTGCCCGAATTGTCCATATGTTTCTACTCTGATCTTTCTTCCCTCCTTCTCTTTTCCTTTCAATCACTTTTTAGTTGAGTAACGTTTTTGTTCAGTACATACCTTTTCCTCATTTTGTCTTTTCCCTGCTTGTGTTTATTTGAGATTTCATTTTCTGCCTAAACACGATATCAAACAAAACATAGTTGTTGTGCTGAGCGAACCACCTCTGAAGATGCAAGCCACCCGTGCTTGCGAAACGTAAGGAAGATTTTCTTGTTCACGGGAGTCTAAAAGCCCGAAAAACTCACCACTTTTTACTATAGCTACTGTTTATTTTCTTTATAATGCTAATTTAATTGATTAAGTTCGCAAAATATTTTCATATTTGGATATTATTTTTTTCTATGTAAGTTTTAGCAGTTTTGCCAAATAAGTTATTACTGCTGTTTTCAGTCTTTTTTTTAATTTCTGTAATTATCAAATAATCGCCGCTGAACGAACTTGTTGTTGTTACCAGTTTCCTAATTTATTATAGTCCTTATTTTACTGTTTACTTCTCGTGCATTTTTGTGTCATTATTTACAATTCATTTCAATTGATAAAATTCTCTAGAATCATGGTTTCCTTTCATAGAAACGTTCTCCTTAATTTTATGCAGCAGTTTCAGCGCTCATATTCCGCGTTCGATAATGTTTTTCCGTCAATTCCTTCATTAAATGGGCAATTAATTAAATACTTTCTATTATCTCGAGTTTTTACGTTAAACATATACATTAATTCCGACAAAAATTTGGGAAAAGTAGAACGTTTCAAAAAACCAAACAAAATTGTAGTTAAAATAAGGCGAAATGTCCAATGTTCCAAAGTCCACTTTTTTCCCCCAATGATAATTGGGGGAAATCCACCCATACAGGTGTTGACCAAACATTGGAGGAAGAACTGTTAAATCCAGAAAAATTGAACTGCTGAATGAAAAATGATTTTGCCTCATATTCGATCCAGCTTAATTAGAAAACAGATGCTGTTAAGAAGGGAAACTCAGGGCCGGACTATTACTGAAGAGTTCACCCACATTTAGCTGAAAAATTCTTCAGATTCATCCGATAGATACGCGCCTGTTGGTTCTGCAATATAAATCCGTCACTCGCTAAGGCCCTTTCAGGAGAGGAAACTCTAAAAGGAGTGACGATTGAACTGATCTTGAAGCCAAGTGCTTCCCTGAGCTAATTTATGTATCAATAAACCATTCGGAAACTTCAATCGCTAAAGTGTTTATTTGTCTTTCGAACGCCGACACTGGAAAGTCGTGCTATTCGTTATAGATAAGAGTTTCTTGTAGAATAGGGAAACGACTGTGGCAATAAAAGCTGTTTCGGTAGATACAGGGGAAGATTAAGATAAAAGGGAAAATAAAAAAGCCTAATTTTTAATCGAGCACTGTAAAAATGTAAAAGCAAACATTTAGTCAATAGCTAATGATTTTAAAAGGAAAATAGTGGAATCTAAGCTGCCCGATTTTGAATTAAATTTTGTAGATCGTGCAAAGGCGACAACTTTGAACCATCATCAATTTAAAATAATCAAAAATTGGGCACTGGTTTTAATTAAATGGAAATTTTTAAAATAACCAAACTAAAACTGATCCCCTAAATTTCAAAAATTCTAATACAGAAAATATTGCATTTTTTACTGCAAAGCAAAATGTTTTAGCGCCTCTAGAATACCTGGAACGAATTTTTCTAAAATGACTGTCGTTAAAGGGCGAACGTAAATAACTCATCTGTAGCTTCAAATTCAAAAAATTATTTAATAACTAGCTGACCCGGCAAACGTTGTATTGCCATATAAATTATTCCTAGGGTTTGTTTTCATCTCGAGTGGGCGGTTTGCCCACTTGAGATTTTTTTAAAATTTTATTTTAAATTTATTGAATTGCTAATATAGCTATTAAAAGATAGGGGTTTATGGCAGCACCCATATCACTTAGGGGTATAAAAAATAGATAACAACCTATTCTCAGACCTACTGAATATACATACAAAATTTCATCAAAATTGGTCAAGCCGTTTCGGAGGAGTATGGTAACTAAAACTGTGACACGAGAATTTTATATATATAGATGGGGAAATTAATAATTAAAGCATACATTTTTGTACATGATAGAGCAAGTATTGCACTTTCTGCTGTTGTATAGGAAAATATTTTATCACCTCAGTTTTTTCTGTGAGGAATTTTTGAACAATGGAAACTATAAAGTGGTGAGCGGAAATGGCACTTTTTGAGCTTCGAATTAAAAATTCTTAAGAAATGGGAAATTAATTATTGAAATGGCAATTGCTGCTTCTAATAAAGAAAATGTTGCACTTTCCGGTGGTGTACAGCTAGATTGATTAGCACATGTCGATTGTTTGCAAGGAATTTTTGAAAAATGATGTTCATATACTGGTGGACGCAAAGAGCACTTTAAAGTCTCGATTTGAAAAATTTATATAAAACTGTCAAAATCAACTATTGCAATGGGAATTTCTGAGTTTAATGGAAGAAATGTTGAACTTTCTAGGGCGGTAACACAGAACTTTTTAAGTATCTTGGATTTTCTGTTATAAATTGTCGAGAAATTACTTTTATAGCTGTAATCGCAAACAGCACTTTTTAAGAATGGCATTCAAAAAATACTTAACATTTTTTTAAATTGCTAATGATTGTCCCTTCACCTGTTGCACTTTCAAGATCTGCACATGAAAATTTATTGGCAACAAAGTATTTTTTGCAAGGAAGTTTTCAAAAATGAGTTTTAGAAACTGCTGGACGCAAATAGCACTTTTAAGCCTCGAATTAAAAAAAACATATAAAACTGTCCAATTTTGCTGTTGAAAGGAGAATTTCTAATAGCAGAAAAATTTAACTTTCTATTGCGACAAAACAAAACGTTTTAATATCTTGGATTGCCTGTTATAAATTCTCGAAAAATACCTTTTATAGCAGTAACCGCAAAACAACTCAAAAAATTCTTAAAAAATGCAGAAATCACTTATTGAATTGCCAATTATTGTTCCTAATGGAGGAATTATTGCACTTTCAGCTTTTGTACACCATTTGGTTTGGTTTGGAAGAAAAATTTAAAAAAATACTTTCAACAAAATGGAAATGCAGTTGCGAATAGACGAAAAAATTGCAGTTTTCACTGCCGCAAAGAAACACTTTTTCTGAATCACAAATCGCTTTGTGGGTGGAATATAGTCATCAGACATTGGAAGCGGCTCATTTCAAAGCTGATTTATTGGCCAATTTGCTGTAATTAATGAACTGAAAAGTCTTCTCCGAGACTTTTGATTAGTTTATTTGCGTTTATCTCTATCAAGCGCAGTAATCTAATGAAGCACAACCGATCTCGGGATTCTTGCGATATACGCAAACCAACAACGTCCATTGTTCGTGTACGTAATAAATTTTCGACGCCTTGGTGAATGTTCAAGCAGTGCATTCACTATCATATCTGGAATAAAATCGGAAAATTTTTCTAGGAATATGAATAAATTTCGGGCGCATTCTCCATTATGTTCAGTGTAAAATGTACTAGTTGCATTATATCAAATTTATTTTTTAGTTAGTCTAAACTCTTGCTGATATTTTAATGTGATTTTGTTCTCAAACCTGCCAGAATTCTTCGCGGTGCCACAATTACAGTTTTAACTGTGGAAAACAAACTGAAAAGGTCACCTAAACACAAGTAGGTACAGATAAACGCACTTTAACTGCAAATTCCAAAACAATTAAGAAACAATGCGTTTTCAAAGACCAAGGTGTTGAAAATTGAATACTGATTTCACCTAATTTCGTTCTGGCGTTCGCATCTTGCCAATTAAACATGAACGGATTTCATTTACTTTTCATTCACTTATTTACACTCTGTACATGTTAATGCTCACGATTTTGAACTGAAAGTCATTAGAATATTCGGTTTCTTCCAAAATAGCTTAGGCAATAAAACGGAGCGGTTGCCTATGCCATTAAAAGCGCATTAATTTCCCACTAAAACCCGATTAGATACTTTGGAAGCTTTTCGAATCGAGTCAATAAACGGTTAAATCATTGCATGAAGTATTTCTGAACAGTTCCTCGTAGAGCAAACTCATTATACTAAAATATGCTAATTAACACCATCATAGTCTTGTAACACACTTTCGTAACGACGCACCGCCAGTATTAACCCATAGTGGTGCTGGCATGCAAATAGGCAAAATACAGAACACCCATCTGTTTCCAGTGAAACGAAACCGAATATGTAAAGTTTTTTTCCGTGTAAGTTCAGCTCGAATGTTTACAGTACACGAGGAATAGCAGTAATTTGAGGATTTACCAGGCATACTGAGTGGTAAGACCAAAAACTTAGTTTTTTTTACTAACAGTGACAATTGCACACAGATCCAGTGTTCAAGAAGTTTTACCTATTTTTTGGGGGCGAAATATTTAAAACAAAGCGAAAGAAGTGGAAATTCACCTAGTTTCCGTACCGTGGCGAGTCAATACCATTCCTGAAGATAAAAGTGTGTTAAAACATTCAGTACGATTGACCTTGTAGCAAAGACAACCAGCTACTGTTTTCGAGCCTGAAAGAATGTTCCACCAGACCTCAAGCGCATATATGAACGGAACATGATCCTTAACAAGATAAAAGTGCAAAACCATACATAATTACATGTGAAATGACTATTCATCAAATAGCAGTGCCGGGGGTATCAGGCAATTAAACGAAACTATTGCGTTAAAATAAATGGTTTTTTGCGAGTAAATGTGTTGCAGTTAATGAGGAAGGTGTCATTGGTTCAGTGAGTTCAGCAGGAATTTTTAATGTGCTTTGGAGGCCAAATTGTTGGAAGCCGATACAAAGCTTCCGCAAATTGAAACAAAGGTAATTAGTGCCCTTTGCCTCATTTTAAACACGCTTTCTATGAATAGTTTGCCAGTTAACCGCCATTGATAGAAGCACGTAGGTTTTTTAGTCATTAACTTGGGATTCACTAGTAGGATGATGCAGGAAATCTACCCACTTATTCAGTTCAGAATTCGGTTATGAAAAACTGAATCGTCTTGTATCTTCTTACATCTATAATAATATTGAAATTATTTAGTTATCGTCACTTCCTGCCACATATTAATTATTATACGCTCACCGGGTTAACATAATTTATCATTCGTTCACTCAGCTTCCTCACTTTAGATTAAAATGGAATTTAAACATCAGCAGATTGAGGGAAATGAAGAAAAACAGGAAAACAGATTGGATTAATGGTTCAAAGTCGATTAAAATTTGGAAACAGCTCTTTAAAAATATAAACTGAAATTAATTATTCAACAATAATTGAACAGTAAGGCATTTAAAATGAGAATAATAAAAAAAATTGCTGCTTGGAAGTAATACAAATAAGCAAAGTCCGTTAGATTTTCTAAGCAAATCTTCATTTGAGGCGGGGCTTTATTTATTATTCACATCGATCGTGATCAATTAAAAGAGAGTTTATATCCCCACCAATCGCGGCGTCGCATTTCTAGCACTTTTTTTCGTGGTATCTGCTGTATTTTTTCTTTTTCTAATACGCACATTTATGAGTCTGCCTTCTCTCACTCGTTCTTCGACAGTAAAGCCAGCTGGAACGTATAAAATTTGCTTTCGGAGTTTATTGTATTTTCTGTTTAACATTTTGCAGATTTTGAAGCTTGAAAATGTATAAAATAAAATATTATCCATTTTTTAATTTTTCAAAATGTTGATGGTTTAGTCGAAGGTTTAGTTTTTAGTTAGGTTGAAGTCGAAGATTTTTCATTAATTTGTTGATATATTATTTATTAATTCCCTCTGTTTTAACATTCGATGTTTTCAACCATAGAAAAATAAGAATTTTTTTGTTTTGCTTTTGCTTTTGTTTTGAAATTGCTCTTTTTCAAAATTGCATAGTTGGTTTTCCTCCTACTTTTACTAAATGTTGAATAACAAAACAAGCATGTGAGTGGGTCAAAGTAGCTCGCAAATGCCTGTGTTAAAAAGAAACAAGTTACATTTACGTAAGCAAATCAGCAGCGAATGTTACGCACCAATTTGAACCAATAAAAACCCTTGACGAATTGTGACGCCACGCCTTTAACAGTTCCTTTAGCTTTATTTATTTATGTATTTATGGCCCTTCCTACTTCCACTTACCCACCGCCCGTAAATTCATTCTATCAATTTATTGCGCAAATTTACGTTTACGGTTTAAAATGTAAATTCGCTTGAAAAAACCTTTTGACGCTTTCTTTTCAGTAGTTTCTTTGCAAAAACTTTGATTTTGAATGTTTGGTCTGTAGTTGCTTTTTCTATCACTTTTTTGGCTTTCAAGCTATATTTTCATTATATTATATATTCGTGTCATCGGCTTTCAGACTCTTCAAGAAATACGTGTTTTTTTTGTGAATAAATTTTCTATTATATTCATTTATACATCTTCTTTAGAAGACATTGCACTCTAAAGTTGTTGAAAGTTTCATGTAAATCGCCCACCGTCCCGATGTTTGCCAGGTTAGTAATATCAGTCTCAAAATTGAAGTTTTTACCTGACGGCGTCCTCTGCTTGAAAAATTCGTATCTTTTAATCTAAAGAAAGTAGCCACTTGAAAGTTTCTGCTTCGTTAGAAGACACTCGATTTTAAAGATGCTGAAAATTTCATATAAATCGCCAAAAATCGTTATTAATTCTTGTATAGTAAATATCGGTCTCAAAATAGACGTTTTCACCCAAACGAGGACTCTCCTTTAAAAATTCGCAACTTTTAATCTGAAGCAAGTATCGACTTGGAAGTTTCAGATTCTTTAGACGGCATTCGTCTCTAAAGATCCTGAAAGTTTCATATAAATAGCACAAAATTCTGATTATTCCAACTTTAGCAAATATAGGTCTCAAAATTGATGTTTTCAGCCAACTGTGCTCTCTCCTTGCAAAATTCGCAACTTTTAATGTGAAGCAAGTAGCGAATTGAAGGTTTTCACATCTTCAGAAGACCCAGAAGCTACTGAAAGTTTGATATAAAAAAATCAGAATTCTTATTTTTGCTAGTTTAGTAAATACAGGTTTTAAACCAAAAGTTTTTACGCAAATGCGTCCTCTATTTTTAAAATTCGCATCGCTTAACCTAAAGCAAAAAGGGCATGAAAGTTTCAGTTTCTGTAGCCTACACTTTACTATAAACACGCCGAAAGTTTTATTTAATTCGTACAAAACGATCTAATTGATCCAGTTGAGTAAATATCGGATGTCTTCACCCAACTGGGAATTCTCTTTTAAAAATTCGCAAGTTTTAATCTGCAGAAAGTAGCAACTTGAAAGTTTCATAATTTTTAAAGCACGCTTGACTCAAAAGATGCTAAAAGTTTCAAATAAATTGTACACAATTCTGATTATTTTCAGCTTAGTAAACGTCTTCACCCAACTAGGATCTCTTTAAAAATTCACTTCTTTTAATCTTGCCAAGTAGCCATTTCCAAAATTCAGTCTGTATATACGACACTTGACTTTAAAGATGCTAGAAGTTTGATGTAAATCCCTCGAAATCCTGATTTTTTCCAGCTTAGCAAATATCGGTCCAAAAATGAAAGTTTTTAACCAAATGCGTTCTCTCTTTTAGAAATTGGCATCTTTTAGTCAAAAGCAAGTAACGACTTTACAGTTTCAGTTTATTTAGCAGCCACTTGAGTCTAAAGACGCTGAAAGTTTCATATTATTCGCGCAAAACGCTGATTATTTGCAGCTTAGTAAATATCGGGTTGAAAATGGATGATTCCACAACTGGTTTACTTCTTTTAAAAATTCGCAACTTTTGATCTGAAGCAAATAACGACACGAAATTTTTTCCATCGTTAGACGACACGTGACTCTGAAGATGTGGAAGGTTTCGAATAAATCGCATAAAATCCTAAGTTTTTTCAAGCTTAGGAGTTATCAGTCTTAAAATTGATGTTTCTTGTCCATCTGGGTTCTCGTCTCTGAAAATTCACAACTTTTCACCTCAAGTAAGTAGCGACTTGAAAGTTTCAACTTTTTTAGAAGATACTTGACTAATGATAGAGAAGAAGTTTGTTTGTCACTGAAAATCTTGGCCGGATTAGAAAATCGGCCTCAAAATGGAAAGTTTCACCCATCGTTATCTCGTTTAAAAATTTACATCTTTTAATCTAAAGCCATTAGCAACCTGAAAGTGAATTATAATTATTTTCTTTTTCTTTCGAATACACCTAAATATGCTGAAAGTTTCATATAAATCGCACCAAATCCTGATTAACTCGGCTTAGCACTTATCACAACCACCTGGGTTCTCTCCTTACAAATTTTCCATTTTCAACCTAAAGCGAGAAGCGATTTACAAGTTTCATCTTTATAAAGACAATTGGCGCTAAAAAAATGAAAATGTGGGTCTCAAATTCGATCCCTCTAATCAACTGCGTTCCCGCCTTTAAAAATTCGCACCTTCCAAGTTAAAGCAAACAACCACTTCAAATTTTCACCATCTATAGGAGATACTTGGCTCTCAAGACACTGGCAGTTTCACATAAATCGCACAAAATGCTCAGTTTTTCCAGCTTAGCAAATATCGGTCTCAAAAGAAAGATAAAATTCTGGAGCATTATGAAATATCGGGTTTGCTTGTCCTTATCAGAGCGTTATAAAGAAGCCATAGCCATCAATGACCTTTTCGACAGCCATTAGCTAGCACCAGCGTGTATAAAACATTTATTTTCCATAGAAATCGGCGAAAATGCCAAGGGAACTGGAAAAAGGAACAAAAGACGTCAATCACACAAAAGTTGCGATATACTTTAATCGCAACCTAATCAATCGGTTAATGGCCAATATGTTCCAAATTAGACTATTCCCACAGCTTTTACAGGGCATTTCATAGTTTTAAGCGCGTGAAATTTGCGAAGTGATAAAAAAGTTTTTTATCTGACGAAACCAGCAAATATTGTCAACCACAACTTTCGGTTTTGCAGCAAAAATCGGCACTGCTTGGCAAATATTTGTATATTTTCATTGTCCCTATCACTATTGGAAATTCGTCTACAGTCCCGTTAAAGGCTTTAACGCTTTGGCTGCAAAACCTCCCAATCACACACAAAAAGGGGGTAGGTAGCTCGTTGAACTCTCTTGTTCTACCAAAAATACCTTGCATTCTGTTCTGGCTAAAAGAGCTTTTGTAGTAACCCCGCTATAGAAATGGTTAAAAGCTCTTGACTGATCCATTTCATTTCCTTCCTTTGCTTCTCTTGGATGTGATCGAGACGGTTTTTGCTTGATTTATTAGGTGCTTCATTCGTAGAACCCAGAGGAAACAGTGAGTAGAAAGTTGGTTAGATTAGTCAAAGCGAAGCAATTTTATAGGAGAGTTTATGCAACTTCAGTTCATTCAACGTGAGCTTAATATTAAGCTTAAGGTTCGGATTTCAACATGAAGCCCTGGTATTTGAAACATAGTCGACCAGTTGAGTCAGTCTCGCTTAGTTGCCAAACGTGAATATAAAACTGGTTTTTAAATATTTTTTTGATCGTCATTGTGAATGTTTGATTGTAACAAACTTAGTGAGTCGACAGCAGACTGAAACCTTAGCAATGTTTGCTTTAAGGAGACAAATAAAGTTCTCGCTTCCGCAATAAATTTCCTCGTATCTGAAACATAACTGACCAAATGAATAATGGAGTTTTAATAGCATTTTTCCATCCTGTAACTTAAAATTTTTGATTTGAACATCAGCGATTTTATGGGCTTGGTGTCACTGTCAATATTCCGTTAATCCTTAAAACCTATGCTCTATATGCATTTGCAAGTGAGTATTAAGAACCAGCCATCTATGAGATGTCAAAAGGTGTTTGGAAAAAAATTGTGTTTATTGTCAAGGAAAATGACCCTTGGTATTCAGGCCGTTATACTTTCGCAATGTACCTGGTATTTGAGAAAAGGGTCCGAAAGCACGTGCACGTTTCGCCCTAATCCCCTGCCCTCGATGCATTTCGCCAGTCAGTCGAATGTAAAGAAAGTTAGTAAATGCGTCGCATTCAAGCAGAGTGTTTGTGAAACCCGTGTCTTATCTTTGGCTGTTTAAGATACATTTTAGGTATGTACATTGTTGAATTTTCAACTTTAAAGAGTGCAAAATTGCGACGGTTTGGCTTCATTTTCATCCCATTAGGCTTTCAATAGAAAATACTGCGCTTTTTTGTGATGTTTGTTCGATTCAGTTGGGCTCCAATACAAGTTGGGCCTTATTTCATATGCTAAAGGCTTTTTTTCCCGTTTGCTGCCCGATTAACATTTTTGGTTTTGACGGAATTTTTAACCTTTTACAGAAAAATGTCACTTTAAGGCATTATTTTTGTCAAAAATGTCCAAATTTATCAGAGCATACTTCAAAATTATCAAAATTTTGACAGTTTTATTACCCGTATGTCATTAACAATGACATTTATGACACTAGTAGTAAATATTAGCCCTATTTAAAGAAAGCGTTATCAATGAGGCAACCTTGACTCTATCTGCAAGGAAAACTAGCCCTCATTAAGGTAATTAAAGATAACTAAATATCGATTTAAGTACTAGATAGGAAGTTAAGTAGCTGATAGCAAAAATAATCGTATTATCGTATCGATAAATGTGCTTAATTTAATGGATTTTGCGATTATTTAGTTTTCGAAACTCTAGTTAGAAAGAAGCTTGTGGCAGTGCTAAATAGAGGAATTTTTGCTCTGCACGTGCATGGAATTTCAATAAACTCGCCCTATTTGTAGATTTTTGGCAAATGTACACGCCCCTAAATGCATGGGTTCTTAGTTATACTTTACACAAACTGCGACTGCCGTTTAGTAATGGCGCTCCGGAATCGTTGTTTAAATAATAATTTTGCCGAAAAAGTGATCGACTAGGATGGGGTCTGTTATGGCACTGGAAAGCGGCTATTTTGGACTATAAGAGCTAAAAATTTCAACCGCATTTCTCTTTTAGCTGATTTTATGCCAATTTCTACACAGAAGACGCTCAATAGCCTCTCAATTCTCAAATCTCAAACTCTCACAGCAAAACGCGTTTCAGAACGATTTGCAATTATTTGTATTTTATTTGTATTTGTATTTGTCGAACACTGTATTAAGTACAAAAATGCTGGACAAAACTGGAAAGAATGTACTTTTTTCTATCAGTTGGGAAAGCATAAAACCCTTCCGATTTTTTACTGCTTTTCGGGGACTTTGTGCACAAACGACTGCGCCTGCCGTTTAGTAACGGTTTTTTAATAATTTAAAATTTACTTAAAATAACGATTTTTTGAGAATTTTCCCGTTAAGAAAGCTGTCTCTTTCCATCCTCTTTCCAGTGGTGTAAGAACTAGTGCTCGGAATTTTAAAAAATCTGAAATTCGAATACTCGTTTAATGGGTTTATTCCAATAGTAAAATTATTCGAATACTCGAATATCCAACGAATATTCGAGTATTCGTTTTCCGTTCACCGTTTTCCAAGAAGAAAATCGTTATCATCAGTTTTGGCAACTAGCCGCAACGGATAAAAAGTGCCTTTGCCGACACATTAATTGTAACACCGCGCAAAAGTTGATGACGCGAATTACCAAATCACAGACACGTAATTTTATATTCATTTGCAGGAGGGTAAATGATTTATTTAATTTTCTCGTAAATATATGGGTATTTGTTTAAATGCTTGAAGAATATGAATAATTTATTTTATAAAAGTATCCAAAGTGCATATAAAGATATTTGCACCTTGTGAGTTTGATGATGTTCGTTTATTCGAGTATCCGAATATTCGAGTTATGACTAGACATAATTATTCGCTTTTTGAATATTTGAATACTTCAATACTAGCCCTAGTAACAACCACTGGAAAGAGGATACGTTGGTGCATAAGATCGAAAAACTTTCGAGCGGGGTTGTAAAAACGCTTATTACACTGCTCGATAGGCAAAGCCTTCTCCATAACTGCCTGAAATTTCAATCAAATCGCATTATTTGTCGATTTTTAGACTAATACAACAACTTAGACAACGTTAAGAAGTGTTCCAAAATTCGTCGTCGATAATCCATTTCTCAAAGACCGATTTAGTAGCAAAAACGCTTGTTACGCCACTGGAAAAATGTACGTTTCTCTATGAGCTCGAAAAGTGTGAGAGAGTTTGGATTTTGTAGTGATTTTTGGATTTTTTTTGCACGAACGACTGAAACCACCGTTTAGTAATGGCGCTTTGGAAACGTTCCTTAATAACGATTTTTTTCAAAATTTGCCCGACTGGAAAGATGCTTGTTATGCCACTGGGCAGCGAATACTTTGGTCTATAAAGGCTAAAAATATAAAGCGCATCTATCTTTTAGCTGATTTTATGCGAATTTCTACTGAGAAAACTACATGATCTGCTCAATAGCAGGACACGTTCCAGAATGATATTCAATTATTTATTTCTTGAAAAGCTATACAGCAAAGAAAGACTTGTTACGCGTCTAAATAGGGCAAATTGTTTTCAAGAGTTTCAAATTTGTATTAAATTGCACTATTTATCGATTTCTGGCGAAATTAAACAATCTCAAGTGCATGAGTTGTTAGCTAACAGTATTTCGAAAAGTTGTCTTTGATAATAAATTTCTCAAAAACCGCTTTAGGAACAAAAGTTACACCACTGGATCTTCAATTATTTATTTCGGGAAAATCTATTCAGCGCGGATGACGCTTGCTACTCTTCTTGATAGAGCAAATTATTCTCTTTAAGTGTCGGAAATTTAAATAAGATAGCACAAATTGTCGATTTTGGGCAAATATATATTCCCCAATTGCATGAATTATTAGCTAACAACAGTTCAAAAGCTTGGGTTCGATAATAAATTTCGCAAAAACAGCTTTAGGTACAAAAGTGAACACTGAAAAAATGTACTGTTCGCTATCAGCTCGAAAAACGGGAAAGCTTTCGGATTTTTTACTGATTTTTGGAAAAATTGCGAAAAACTGCAGTTTGTCGAAAATTTGCTTGATTAGAAAGGAGCTTGTTATGCCACTAGAAAGCAGATACTTTGGTCTATAAGAGCTAAAAATGTCGATCTGATTTGCCTTTCAGCTGATTTGATACGAATTTTTACCGAAGACTACATGAGCTCACTTAGTAGCAAACGTTTTCCAGGATAATTTTCAATTATTTATTTCTCGAAAATACATCCAGTTGGAAAGACGCTTGTTGCACTAATAAATACGGCAAAATCTTCTTTACAAGTGACAACAAATTTCAACTAAATCGCAATATACGTCGAATTTTGGCAATTGTATCCGCTCCCAGTTGCATGGAATCTTTTGTAAATTTGCTTCAATAATAAATTTCTCAAAAACGGCTTTAGGTACAAAAAATCTGATTGCTCCGCTGGAAAACGAGGAATTTACTCGGACTTCGTAAAATGTATAAACGCTCGGATTTTTGTTTGATTTTAGGGAAATGTTTGCACAAACGCCTGCGACTACCGTTTAGTAATGGCGCTTTTACAATTCGTTCATCAAATAATTTATGTTTCGTAAACTTGCCCGATTAGAATCCCAAACTAACTCAAGAAAACGATATCAATGAACCCTCCTTTGTTGCCACACTCTGTATCTGCAAGGGTTTTCCCTAGAGTGAATTCAAATACATTCACTGGGCAAAGTGATCAAAATTAATGAGTCGTGATTTACTCAAAACTCATCAGTAGCCACAGGATGTTTCATTAAATATGGCTTAATATAATTTAATTATTTAAGCCCATCGGAAGCTAAAAAAATGATCAGAGTCAATCTAATCAATACAGGAGTTTTTATAGCGGAACCCAAAAGGTTGGTTTAAAGATTTAAGGGTGGAAGCTAAAAAAAAATTACTCAGAAAGATAATTTTCAATTTTTCTTACTTGGACCGAAACTCATTAGACTGCAGGTAGGTACTTTATGGTTCTTTGAACAAGACGCTTTGTTCGAAACACACTCATCATTGTTAGTCAAGCAAGCGGAAATGTAGGAGGCATTAAAGTATCTGGGCTAAATCTATGACTCAATACCACAAAAGTTCCTCCGAACGCTCTTATCTATGCACCAAAGCCATTCAGTTGCTGAATTCGCTCATTTTTAGCATAGAAAGCATTTAGGCGGTGTAATTAATTTAGGTTTGTTCTTTCTAGAGAGGTACCCACAAGGAGAACCAGTTCCTCGGTCATATGGAAGAAAAGGTACGCGATTCAGTCATGGAACGTGTCGGTTTCTTCGCACTGGTCGGTCTAGCGATCGTAGGCTGCTGTACCACAATGGTTCTGGCCGAAAGAAGACAAGGTTCGTTGGTTCTGTTTATGTTTTTTTTTCGCGATAATGGCAAATTGGTGTGAAAACGTGCCCGATCAAGCCGACAATCGTCTTGTTTACATTGTACCTTCACGCTACATTTGTTCTTATAAAAACGGAAGTGTGTTACGCTGGTGCTATCGGAAACCAGGCCAATTGCATATGGTTATTTCGGGTAAATTTAATACATTATTGGTTGTTTGATCCACCATTTTTCTACGGGACAATGGCGATTGATAAATAATTTATTAACTTCGTGTAGTGACTTCCGAGTAAAACCACGTTTAGTTGCAATTTATTACCTGGAACCAGTGCAGGCATCTGGTCGATTGTACTACGAATAATCACACATTCCCATACAGGGGGCATATAGATAGTAGAAAAAATATGTTCAGAGCTGGAAAAACGTTGATAAGCTGAATATTTGCTGGATGAAGCGAGACAACAGCGCCATCATCAGATTTAAAATTTACACACACACTACAAACACCAATTCACAATTAAAACATGTTTTATAAAAACTATAATTTATAGTGTTAAAACATTCATCAGTTTTTTGAGGGAAAAACAATTGTTTCTCTTTGGGAGAGCAGAACACTGGAAAAGCTTACCTCATGATTGGTAAAAATCAACGTTTTTTTTAGGTCTTTGCCTTCTTGAAACCTTAAATTTGTCTGAATTATTTTCTACATTGTTTGTATCTAATTATTTTATACATTTCTGCTATTGTAGAAAATACTTCAGACAAATTTAAGGTTTCAAGAAGACAAAGACCTAAAAGAACGTTTATTTTTACCAATCATGAGGTAAGTTTTTCCAGTGTTTTGCTCTCCCAAAAGGAAGGATTTTTTTCCTCAAAAACTGATGAATGTTTTAACACTATAAATTATAGTTTTTATACAACATGTTTTAATTGTGAATTGGTGTTTGTAGTTTGTGTAAATTTAAAATCTGATGATTGCGCTGTTGTGTCGCCGAAACGTAATGAAATAAACGATGTTTCAAAATTTTTACTTCACACTTTGACTGAGACCCAGGAAAGATAAAAATATTAATTTTTTATTTAATTCCAGAATTGAATGGAGACTGTTTTCACGTGAAACAATGCTATCAGATCGGCTATTTATGTGCCAGGAACAGAACGTGCCAATGTGGTTTTGGCTACGTGGTCAATGAGAAAAGAACCAAATGCATTGGAGGTAAGTGTCTGGTAACTTCTGAGTGTGTCAAATACAGTTTATTAAGACCCTCTGAAAGTGGTGATAAGAACAGAATTAACAGTAATTCATATGTATATTAATGTATTTTTACGCAGTTGTAGGATCGAGATGCATTTATGACAGCCATTGCATAGAAGGCGCATACTGTACAGGAAGAGAGGGTTGGGAGGTTTGCAAATGCAGGGAAGAGGACAATTTCATTCCCAGCGAGGATTTGATGTCTTGCGTAGGTAAGCAGAGAAGGTTTTGATGCAAAAAAATTATTTCTTGCTGGGCACAAATTATTGTCTTGTTAAAACGAATTCTATTAGATTAGAAACGCACGTCTTCTATTAGAAATTGATAAAAAGTGCTCTTATTGCGCAATAAAGAATTAATTATTTATCAAAAGGTAATCAAGGGCGCATCACCAAGAGGGTATTCGAAGGCTCATTTAGAGAAAAACTCCAATGGCGTTCCACCTTGTCGTTCCTTCTCAAAAAATACATAAAATAAAGTAAATAATAAACCGTTTAACAAGGCTGAATGCATATAAATCTATACAAAACCGCTTTGAGGTTTCGTTTTTTGCAAATTGCCATTTTTTTACTTTGACTTAATAAGACTTCGTGCACTCCTTATTTTAATTTTACGTTGTTTGCTGATGGTTCTTTGAGAAGCAGAAACTTGGGAATAATGAAATAAATTTGTGCTTTCTAACGATTAATTAATATTAAAGTGATTAAGAAAAATTTAGACGTGCGAAATTTTTATCTTGTCTTAAAAGACAAAATACCCAACAAAAGGCTTTTGAAACCATTAACCCGCCTTGGCCCTGTAGAACTTTTTCGTCTGTTACTTTATATTTTTTTCATTGTTTTTCAGATGCTTCGTCAAATGTGCCCCATTTGCCGACTATTTTCCTTCTGCTTTTGCCCTCACTTTTGACACTTTCCTACTTAAACACTTAAGTCATGCTCACTTTTCGTAATGTTGTTGATTTTGTATATAGAATTCGTTCAGTTTGATGTAACATACATTTGTAAGTGTTAAATAGTTTCAGGCGTTTACACTTCCAAGTGCCATTTTATGGTTACACAGTGTTTGTTCGTATGTAAAAACTGTATATGTGTTTTAGTATTATCGAGCCATATTTTCTAGTGTCATGAAGACTTTCAGTATTAGAATTACTGATATTTGCTGTATTGAGGGTAGCTGTTGGCAATGTGATAGCGAATTAATGTTGATTTTTGAATACCAAAGTTGTGAAACGTGTACTTACAAGCAATGATTGTTGTTGCGATTAAATAATCATATTTAGTTTTTTATATAAACGTTTGCCATTGATTTTTTTATTGTTTTCTTTCGTAAGCACCTTTAAGTTCCTAATGACAGCAGAAAATAGGGGCACCCAAAGCACACAAGTACAATGAATATGTGAACAGAAATGCGAAGGAAATCAGAATGGGAGGAGAGAAGATAAAAAAATTGAATGAACTCACTGGAAAGAAGTAATTTCAATCAGTCTCCTTAGAGACGAGAGGTGGAACTTTCTAGAAGGAAAATTTATCAGATTATTGTTCCTGGCCTACCTACGCAAATGCCCATTTCTCCTTCAACCAAACTATTTTATTGCCAACATTCGCCACTACCAAATGGGTGTTTCAAGCACCAAATTATGGAAAAATTCAAAAGGCTAGTTAGTGGTGCAGTTTGTTTTGGCCGGTGCTTCTTGCCTTATCTCCATGGCAAACGCCGCGCATCCACTTGGAAGAGAGAATATTTCGGACAAACTGCATCAAAACCTCAAAGAATTATTCACTTCGTTTGCAGTATAATCATTTTGGGCCGCGCTAAAGTAGCTAAAGTGCTTGATTTTATTCAAAACATATCAATTACAAAATAAATAAATTATAAACAAGCATACAAAGGGCAAATAAAAACGAGCTTATTCTAACTTTGGAGGTATTATTTGAACACTCGACGCGGCCACTGGAATCAGTGGCGCCAGGGGCGCATTGGCACACTCCCGCTGTACAGTTGGCTACTGACAGCAGCTCAGTGGATGGGACGCATTGTTCTGAGGCTGAAAATTCAAGTTTTACACGCTTTTCTGAGCATTCAGAGGCGGGTTTTACCAGAGCAAGCCTGGCCGATTCGCGCGGTTCGGACGCATCTGGTTTCAAAGCCATGGTACCCGCTTTCGCATGTGCAGTTCCCATTATTGCAAATGCCATCCCGCAGGAATTCTGAGCACTGAGCGTTTTCCTCGCACGAGTCGAAAAAGTAGGTGGCAGCTAAAAAAAAAACAACGATTTGTCAAGGAATTGGAGGTTTTTAAACAAAAGGTTACCTTTTAAGCAGGTGGTTTCATTCCTGCTCACCACATACCCCACCGCGCACCTGCAGATTTCGCGACATACACTGTTTCCAATAAAGGAGCATTGGTAGTCATCAGAGCAGTTTTGGCCCAGGTTCCTCACATTCACGCAACGTTTTCTGTCCGCTGAAGGCCTCAATCCTATATTGCATTCGCATTGACCATCAGTACAGAAGGCATAAGTACCATCTTCCAATATGCAGTTGGCGTCGGTTCGACAGAAGTCGTCTAGCACTAATTTCGAATAATACAAGTCACTGATTAAAAGCTGCTAATTTTGTACTTACGAACGCTTCGATAACATCTTCCATCGTACGGGTACCGGTAGGTTTTCTCCTGGCAACCACAGGTGTTCTGGCATGTGGCCAAACCTCCTAAATTATCCACGCATTGGGCACTGATTTCGCATTCTTCACCCCATGTGGCCACTGCAATGAAGTTTTAATTGGCAAACTGAATAAACTCTGACTGCTGTCGCTGCTGAACAATTTGGACTGCCCTTGTAGCAAAAAGGGCGGAGCCGGATGGGCGCTAGACGACTTCCATTGGCTTAGAGGCGCGAGGGAATCAATTTACGATTTAGGTTTTAGACTTTTAAGTTTAGGATTTTTAAGTTTTAATGTTATTAGGTTTACTTTACGTTAGATTTAGGAAGCAAGAGAGGTTGTAGTAGGCTTAAGTTTAAGTAGAATAAGGTAGAGGGCCATTGTACTAATTAGGTTAGTCAATTAGCATTGTAGACTAGGACTAGCTGTAAGTTAGTTTAGGTAACAAGAAAAGATGTATTAGATTTAGGTCTAAACTTAGGGGTAATGTGCCCACAGTAGGTTAAGGTAGATTAAGGTAGATTAAGGTAGGTTAAGTCAGTGATGTCAGCTTTCACAGAGTGTAAAACACTCTAAAGATGTTAGAATTAAGACTCGTAGATAAGTTAGCAGTAAGAAATTTGTAAAAAATTTGTCTGAAATAAATAATGTTCAAGATCAATTTACGAGGAAACTTTGACAAGTTTTTATGTTGTGAATCTTCTTCTAGACTAGTCGGGAAATGTGAAATTGGATCAATCACTTTGCCCCCTGCGCCTTTGAAGATGTTTGCTTCGGATGCAAATGAAATATCTGCTGTGTGCAACAGGCGTTGGGTGAAAACTGTCTCAAACTCCCTCGTAGCTAAAGTATACCGGGAAGGTTTACTAGAGGCGATTTTCTGTTCCTTGTGAAAGTTATACTGTCTGCTCTGGATTGAAGCTTAGGAAATTTCGAAGAAAGGTGTGCAGTTGAGTGTTCAGGACAATTCTCTTTTTTGATCTATCATTTACAAGGCGGCCAAAAATCAAGCTGATTTGAGACTGCAGTAACAATTTGACTACTTTGAGCCAGAAGTTTCGTCTATAAGGTGTGCGAATTTTACATTACTATTTGCTCTCGATTGGAAGTAGTGGATTTTTACAGCCCGCTGTGAGTTGGTTGAAAATTTTCAGTTTCGGTCCATCGTTCAAAGGGCGGCCAAAAGTCACAATCGTTTGGGATTCGAGTAAAATTTTGACTGTTTTGAGCCGCAAGTTTCTTCTGTAGAGTGTGAGAATTTTCATAGGCTACCTGCAGCTAGTTCAAAGTTAGGAATTTTCAGATGAAGAGCGATGAGACTATACATTTTCAATTTTCATTATCGGTCCAGCATTCACAGGGCGGGAAAAATCACTGTCATTTGTCTTTGGAGTAAAATTCGAGCTGGGTTGATCAGCTAGCTTCCTCTGTCGGATGTGCGAATTTTAAGACTATCTGCTCTGGATCAAAAGTTAGAAATTGTAGTGCAGTTGAGCAGAATTTTCATTTTTGGGTCATCATTCACAGGGCGGTCAAAAGTCATAATAGGTTGGGATTCGAGCCAACTTTTGGCTGATATAATCCGCAAGTTTCTGCTATTGCACGTGCGAATTCCACGGTACTACCTTCTCTTGATCGCAAGTTAGGAATTTTCAAAGGTCGTGCGGTTGATTGAAAATTTGCATTTGCGGTTTATCGACAAAACGATCAAAAAGCATTTTCTTTTGGGAATCGAGTGAAATTTTGACTAATGTGATCCGCCAGTTTCTTCTATTCTTCTATCGGGTGTGCAAATTTCAAGTTACTACCTGCTCTGCATCGAAAGTTAGAAATTTTCGAAGAAGGGCGTGCAGTTGAGTAAAAACTTGCATTTTCGGTCCTTAATTGGCAGTGCGGAAAAATTCACTATAGAGTGGTATTCGAGAAAACTTTTGACTGATTTGAGCGGCCAGTTTCTTCTATAGGGTGTGCAACTTTTAAGTTACTGCCTGTTCTGAATCGAAAGTCAGTAATTTCCAAAGAACGGCGTGAAGTTTATTGAAAATTTTCATTTTCGGTCCATCATACACAGAGCGGCTAAAAGTCAAAATCGTCTGGGATTCGAATGACATGCTGACTTGGTAAAGCTGCAAGGTTTTTCTGTAGTGTGGGCGAATTTAAAGAGTCTACGGGCTCCGGAACAAAAATTAGGAATTTTTAAAGAAGACCGTGCAGTTGGGTGAAATTTTAATTTTCAGTTCATCATTTACAGGGCGCAAAAATTGCAGTTGCTTATAATTCAATTAACGTTTTTACTGGTTTGAGCAAGTTTCGTCTATAAGATATACAAATTTTGAGATACTGCCCGCTCTGGATCGGAAGTTAGAAGTTTTCAAAGAAGAGTTCGCACTTAAGTGAAAACTTGCAGTTTCTAGTTCTGAGTTCTAAACTTACAATATGGGCAATACAGGGCGCAAAAATTCACTATATTTTTGTATTCAAGCAAAATGTCCGCCTGCTTGAGCTGCCAGTTTGGTCTACAGGATGTGCGAATTTCACGATACTACCACATCTGGATCGACAGTTAGGATTTTTCAACGAAAAACGTGCGGCTGAGTGCAAATTTGCATTTTCGATCTATCGACTAAACGATTAAAAAATAATTTTCGTTTGGGAATCAAGTGAAATTTTGACTAATGTGATCCGCCAGGTTCTTTAATTCTTCTATAGGGTGTGTAAAAAATTTCAAGTTAATACCTGCTCTGGATCGGAAGTTAGAAATTTTCGAAGTAGATCGTGCAGTTGAGTAAAAACTTGAATTTACGGTCCTTAATTGTCAGGGCGCAAAAAATCACAATAGTTTGGTATTCGAGAAAACTTTTGACTGGTTTGAGCGACCAGTTTTTTCTATAGGGTGTGCAAATTTTAAGTTACTACCTGGTATGAATCGACAGTTAGGAATTTCCAAAGAAGGGCGTGCAGTTGGGTGGAGTTTTTATTTTCGGTCTACCATTCTCAAGTCGGTGAAAACATTACAACTTTTTGGGATTTGATCAACGTTTTGACTGGTTTGAGCCACAAGTTTCTTCTATGAGATGTGGGAATTTTAAATTACTATTTGCACTAGATCGAAAGTTGTGGATGTTTAAAACACACTGTGAGTTGATTGAACATTTTGATTTTCGGTGCATCATTTACAGGGCGGCCAAAAGTCACAATCCCCTGGGATTCGAATGAAATTTTGACGAAGTAAAGCTGCAAGTTTTTTCTCTAGTGCGGACAAATTTAAAGAGTCTACGAGCTCCCGAACAAAAGTTAAGAATTTTTAAAGAAGACCGAGCAGTTGTGTGAAATTTAAATTTTCGGTTTATCATGCACAGGGTGCAACAAATTACGGTTGCTTGTAATTCAATTAACATTTTGACTGGTTTGAGCAGCAAGTTTCTTCTCAAAGATATACAAATTTTGAGGTACTGCCCGCTCTGGATCGGAAGTTAGAAGTTTTCAGAGAAGAGTTTGCACTTAAGTGGAATACTTGCAGTTTTGGTCCTAAACTTACAGGGCGCAAAAATTCACTATATTTTTGTATTCACGTAAAATGTCCGCCTACTTGAGCTGCTAATTGGTTCTATAGGATGTGCGAATTTCAAGATACTGCCTAATCCGGATCGAATGTTAGGATTTTTCAAAGAGCAACGAACAGTTGGGTCAATTTTTCATTTTCGGGCCATTATTGAGAAGGCGAAAAAAAACTTCAATTTTTTGTCATTCTATGAAAAGTTTGACCAGTTTGAGCAGGTTTCTGCTATAAAATCTGCCAATTTCAAGTCATTACTCGCTTTAATTCAGAAGTTAGACTTTGTCAAAGAAGGTCATTTGCATTTTCGGCCCATCATTTACGAACCGGTCAAAACATACAACGATTTAGGATGCTAGTAAAATTCTCACTCGTTTGAGCCGCCCGTTTCTTCTATAAGTAGTTTCTACCAGAGCCAAGGGATATTATTTCTTGTCTCTGGTTTCTACTTGCGGTGGATCGGAAGTTACGAATTTTCAACGATGCGCGTGCGATTGAGTTAAAATTTGCATTTTAGGTCCATCATTCAAACGGTTGCAAAAATACTGAGTTATGCCACTATTTAAGTAAAATTTTTAGATTTTGCAGACCCGATTATCTTCCATAGGGTGTGCGAAATTCAAGGTACTACTTGGTCTGGATCGGAATTTACGAGTTTTTAGAGAAGGTCGTGCAGTTGACTGAACATTTTCAGTTTCTGCATAATTTGAAATTAACAACGATTTAAATAAGATTCTAAGGATTTAAAAAAATTTGCTTTGTATACTTAATATGCTCTAATTGGTATCGCGTCTGAACTATTGAGGCTCCCTTGTTGTAGAAAAAGAGGAGCCAAATGCGCGATAGAAGGCTTCCATTGGATGAGAGCCGCGAGCAAGTTAATATACGATGAAGCTTTGACATGTTTTTATCTTATGAACTGATTTTTTAAGGCCAATATCCAACGCAACTGCAAAACACCAAAAATTAATCGGGAAATGTTGTGAATTGAGAGCAATCATTTTGTTCGCGATTACTACGCTTTTGAAAATGCTTGTTGTCGATGCAAATAAAACGTCTCTTTGAACATCTACTTTGTGTAAGGCCCATTTTCATCAGAAACAAGCGAAACGCAGTTTGACGAAAGTAAGTGTATGTTAAACGCCGACATTAAACGCGTTTAACGACGGACCGTTTTCACCAGCGCTTCGGTACGTTTCACAAACTGCGTTTATTGAAACACAGTTTAAGAAACTGGAAACACTGGCATCGTTGCAAAAGTGAGAAATATTACGATTCTCATCGCAAAATCATCTTATCAAGGAACCATTTGGGTCC